ATTTAAAACAAGCCCTACTCAATAGTAGCGCCACTTCTGTAGGACCATTTTTCCGATATGGCAGAGTCCATTCTTTTTCTAGCTAGGTATATTCTTTGTTGTTGTTTTAACTGTCAAAATCTTGTCCAAAACATATATTTGGTTATAAATATTAAATGGAATGCCCCCATTGGTCGCACTGCAAGCACACCAATGGGACTGAATGCCTAAAAATGAATCAATCAAAGAAACGCGATATAGTATCGTCTTTGGCCAATCACGATAACATTTTAGAATAAGTAGGAGAGCGCAGAGATGATTGAACCGGGACTTTAAAAACCTACGTCTGCGGTAACAATTTACGTTTTTAATGTAAAAATGATAGCGCGCGTGTGTCGATTCTAACTTCATCAAGCGATGAATCACTCCCAAACATTCGTGGCGTTTACAATACAATAAAATGTATAATCTGACCAACGACAAGATCCTTGACAGTGATAGATGTGTCTGTCATTTTAATTTCAAAGTAGTTTATTTTATTTTACAAAGAAATAAGTTGGTACAACTGGAACGTATAGCAGGAAATAAATATATTTAAAATTTGACTGATAAGTGATTAAATAAAAAAAATATTGTGGAGAAAACTGTATAGAGATTATCTAAATTTGAAGAATTTTGAATTTTTAAGAATTTGAAGACAATTAAAATATGATACCAATAGAACTTTGAAATACAAACTGTGTGTATCGTAATATTCTTTGAATAAGAAGACTAAGGAAGGAGCATATCAAAAATCTTAGGTACACCGATGGGCCTCAAATATGGCCGACTTAAATTCCGGTTTATCAGTGTCGTTCTAATTTTATTTAAAAAATGTAAAACTATGATGTAGAATTGAACGTGGGTAGACTCAATAATTTGTTGTTTATTTTACGTTGTGAATAAATGTTGAGTGGTTATTAAAATTGTTATAAAAATATATAATTCTAATAAAAAATAGATAAGTTATAATAAGTATTTATTAACACAAACTCCGATACGCTACTGAAGCAATTAAGTCAAATTAACGTATCTAAATTCTTTGACATCTAATCTTTGACAAATAATAAATAAGCTAAAATGCAAGAAAAATATATAATTTAGTTAATTTAAGTGAATTTCATAAACCAGTCGGTTTACACGTATGTATATTATATAGTCACTTACTAGCGAAAAGGTGTTCCCATTATTTCCTCAATTTTGCCGAGATTACCGCACGCTACACAACCAACTATTTTGAGAGTCTTTTCGATAAATCGCGATAGTGTCACTGTTAATTTAAGTTCTGCCACAATTTCCATCTAGATTTACCTTTACCTTATCAGTAGTAAATTAAATAATAAATAACATAAAATAAGCTCCGTAAAAACAAATCCACAAAATTTCAAATCAAATTCAAATGTGTCAAATGAATCGTCAAACAGAACTGTCAAGGATCCCCACCCTAGAGAGCTTTAATGGTGGCTTTTCCGCCCACCATGCATGAATACATAGATATCATTATGCTCCTTCCTTAGTCTTCTTATTCAAAGATAATATTGGACACTTGACATATTTAAAAAAAAAAATAAAAAAATATCTCACTGTATTGCACAGTAATAAGTCACCGATTTCTGTAGTGACTATAATTTTCTCGAACAGAAATAAATGCTATAAATAATACTTGCGTTTGGCCTCCCAGTTACAGTTATACGGTAATTTGCCATTTACTATCTGAATTTAAATAATAATTATTTGCAGCCAAAACCGGAAAATGATACTTGATCGTACAGTCTGCAGAAACAAGGTATTATTTATGTTCTTATTATTTAGTAATATTTATATAAAGCTGTAATTATCAATATCGATTATTTAAAAATATGCAGCCTTTATTGAGATCGAGATATAGAAATGATTTTGAAATAATCAACTATACTCGAAGTCACTCGCATTATCATGTTATGAATTGTAAAACTATATCCCAGTCTCCTCAATGAACATCTGCAGATTGACAAAAAAACGGCGAATACGAATTCTGGTATTGGGAAAATGGGGAAAACACCAGTACGATTAAAACTAGGTGCGCCGAGAGGACAACCATTCGTGCCATAATACGAGAGGCTGGCAACGTCAGGGAAAACAAATTATTTTAAGAAAGCTGGCTCTTTAATATATCGTTTACTATGCTTTCTGGAACAGCATGCGGCCCGTTTGGCTGCCTGTAAACGTTGCGTTCCCTACTGCGCATTGAAAAGAAGATCCTATATTTTATTAGTCCTTTAAATTCTAGTATTGAATATAAACCGAGTCTCCATAGCTCCAGCGCGTAGAGGTTCCGTTACGTTAGGGTTTATTAAGTGGAATTGGGCGAATAGCGACCCATGAGTCCCCGTGGTTGAAACAGCAGGGGACTGGCAACGAAGATGTGGCCCAGTCGCAGGAAACCAGGCTTCGGCACGCAAAGATTGGTCAAAAGCTGGGTAATTCAGGCTTGGCTAATACTATGTTCACCCCTATCTTGGGCCACGGCACAGGGGAAATCAAGTCTTAGCCATCTCTTAATTCACCCAACTTTTGGCCCAACACTAAGAATCTCAGCTCCGACCATTCTACGGCGACAGCTGAATCGGTTGATTCCTATTTGTGGCTTGACAGCTTTAAGCAGAAGCATATGTACGGCTGTTAAATGCTTTTCTCAAATCTAATCTAAATATATGAATGTAATTATTTGTGTGGCTCTATTCAAATGCTGGGTTCAAAAACAATTGTTTTTTGCTGCTGGATGAAACTCGACAATTAAACTCTCGGCGATCAAACGTGGCCCGGTCTTGACATTTCAAAGCCAGGCTGGCCAGCCTTGACGATCAGTGATGGCCCAACGTCAGTTCAAAGTCTCCCCCGATGTTTTGTTCGACAACCACAATAGCACCACGCAACCACAGTCGGGCCAAAACTGAGTATACAAATAGCCAACAGTGGTGATCAAACTTGGCTTCTTGTGGGGATCAAAATTGGTTTGGTGATTAGTTTGGCCCAACACTGGTAATCAAACATCGCCCGCCTTGGTGATCTGGTTGGCCCAATTTTGACAACCAACCTGGCACGACTTGATTATAATTCAAAGCTATTCCCAAAGCTGGGCCAAAACTGAGTATGCATAGTTGGCCCAGATCTTTGATACTGAACCAGTTCTGTACCAAGACTGGGCCGATGGTTTGATCCTGTGTGGAGACATTAAGACTATAGAAACAGAGGACGACCTCCTTGTCGATGGACAGATAAGAAACTATTTCGAAAAGTGGATACAAGTGGCACAAAATAGCAAAACATATGGCTAGAGTAGGGAGGCTTTTCAGCAGTGGACGGAATAAGCTTAATGATGATGATGATGATTCGAGCATTGTTTTTTAGCATAGCTCAAAGGATTCGACTTTTTTCATTATTTGTTCCTTCAGCGTCCCCTGTTGACTGCTTCAGAATGTCCATCTGACGCTAAATTTAAGTTTCAATTCCAAAATATTTATGGGGGTTTTTGTGATCATCCCAGTTTATTTTGTCTATGTTGATATTTATTTCCATTCATTGATATGAGCGTGAGACTGCGCCTACTAGGGGCGTTACAGTTTGTGATACTATAACAATTGAGCAGCCCACCCCTAGTTTTTATAAACAGAATATCGAACGCGCAATCCTACATTAATAGCGTGTTACAACCTGCCTGTCGCATTACTAAAAACTTACCGCTGTTACTAAAAACTTCCTCCGACAAGCTAATATCGCCTTTCTCCCGTGAATTACAACGTCACCAGACTTATCACCTATTGAACATGTCTGGGATCTGATAGGCCAAAAACGGCTGAGTCGGTTGCCACATCTTATACTGGATGTACAACGTCTAGGTCACGTGGTAACCTTAGCTTAGGAGACCTACCACAGGAAGATATCGATCATCTCATTCGCAGCATGCCGCGAAGAGTTACAGAATTTGGAAACTTACGTTGAGGTGCAACTCACTATTGCATTGTTAAATCCCCTTTCAATTAATTGTTATTCATATTTATACCAAACAACGTCGGTTTTAGAACGTTTTTCGACGTTGTACGATACTCAATACCTGTTCTATTCGACAATCCTCTGTTGACAGGTTTCTTTCACTCATCGCTTTGTGTGTATGCTCTTTTGCCATTCAGTTCGGTCTTCCCTGTTTTCTTGTGCCCTTTGATTGCCCAATTGATTATTTTCTTGGGTCATCTAGTACCCTTCATTCGCTCATGTCCGTACCTGATCCGCTGCTTTCTCTATATCTGTGTTATCGTACCTTCTATACCCATTTTATTTATTTTTATGGTATTATTTTTTATTCGTTGTTGTCTTGAAATTCCTATTGATCTTCTGAATAGCATCCATTTATACGGCCTCTATCCTCTTCTTGTATTTTTTAGTTGTTATTCTCCATGTTTCTGCTACATACAGGAGGTTGCTCTTTATCATGGTTTTGTATAGTTTTGAATTTCCTTCGCTTTGTTATTGATTTGCTCCATAAGATTCCATTTAGACATCCGATTATTTTTTTTTGCGTTGATAATACTTTTCTCTATTTCTCTGCAGAGAAATATACCAACTACTTCCTAAAATATTAATAAAACAAATTTACATTTACCGGGTGTCGCAATTTCTATGTCAAACAGTATACTAGTATATGTTTGAGACAGATTTTTAATATAAATAGTTGTTTTAAGTATACATTTCCTTCTTAAATGTTCAATAACCTATAGCATATTACCTTGCAAACATAATCTAATTGCAGGTGTTGGCTGATAAGTATTTAACCTTAAACTTTTCAGAACGTACTTGCAAAACCTTTGCTATAAAATATCATGAAATTCTAGTCCAGATGATTCAATTTATTTATATTCTATTAAGCAAGGCTTACAAGTTTGTAGAGGATTAATAAATAAATTTTATTGCGAATGCCTTTAATAATTCTTATAATTTCGTTTCAGGTCTACTATGGCTATATTTGTTACAATTTGGGCTTACGGTGCTGTCACTTGAACCTGGGGTAAGTACCACCATTATATGTTTAATCAAAATGTAGAATAATTAAGTGATTTACTAATTTAAATCTTCTAGTATTATTATAAGGACATTAGCAAGATCGATAGACTCATACAATAATATGGAAATCCCGTATAAATGATTTTAATTTTTGTAAATTTCAAGATCTTAAAGCCATATAAAATACAATTAGATCTAACACTGCGAAATAGTGTCTTTTTTCACCATATACTTCAAACAATTTCACCATATTATTTTACCATATTACTCCAAAACACTTTAAACACTGAACGCGTTGGATGATTAACAGAAGCTGATTAAAACTCTATTACCATTGATTAAAAATTGAATGTTTATATCGGGTGCGTCTCAAAAGTGGCTCACCCCTATAACTTTTTTATTTTTTTAGATAAAAAAAACAGATTTGGTATGTTAGTATATGACATAAATTAGGATTAATTGACGTATTCAATTGTTTTTGGTCATTTCCTTTTTCACCGGAAATGACTACAACTTTTGATTTTTAAAGACAGAAATGACAGAAAATGACATTCTGAATAGAATAACATGTCACATTATGTCAAATTTTGACACTCTCGCTTAATAAAAAATCCTATTTTAAAATTCAATCTAGAATGCCATGGCTATGTTAAAAACACTAATTCTTAATCAAGGAGCCTTGAAAAAATAGATATAATCGTCTATTGTTTTTAGTGTCTTGTTCTGACCAGTTAGAAAATGCTCAAATCGTATTTTTAATCATATCTCAATTTTTTCAAATGGAACGAGGGTGGCTCATTAGCATATTTGAAAAAGGCATTTTTTTACGAATAATTTGATACCACACACTTGGTATTTCGAATCAAATTTTCGTTACGAACCGCAATTTATAATTTCAAATAAATCATATGCGAAAATGTCAAAAGTTGACATACGATATATCATTCTATTCAGAATGTTATTTTCTATCAAATAAAGTAAAAAAATACCGAGGGTGACATTTAAAAATCAAAAGTTGTAGTCATTTCCGGTGAAACAGGAAGTGACCGAAAACAATTGAATACGTCCAATCAATCCTAATTTATGTCATATACTAACATACCAAATCTCTTTTTAACTGAAAAAATAAAAAAAATAATGGGGTTAGCCACTTTTGAGACGCACCCGGTATAGGGACTCGATTGATATTGTTGCCAATCGTGACACAGTCACCAAATTGATTCAAAACTAATCTAGCCTAAGTTTTGTCTGACTGCTTCAAAATGTAAATCATAAAGGAATAGAAAAAAGTAAAATATTTTAAGTTAACGTCTCATTTTTGCTGCTAAGGCTAATCTAGACCGGGTTTACTTTGTTTATGCTGAATCCGAACCGCGGTCCTCGGTCATATCACTTTCAATAGCCTACCGACTCGGCGAGTGTGTAAATCGACTCTTCCTCACGAGATATCCGAACTCATCCGGACTCAAGCCGGCGTGCATGTGGCAATAGATTTTACATGTGGAAATCCCGAAGGTTAACGCTCTTAATCCCTTAAGGTTACGCGCTCGTAGTAATGTTCGATAATAAAGCGCATATAGAGGCATCATAAACACAATTTTCAAAAAAACAAATAATGGTTATAAGAACGTATCCAGTATAGCATAAAATGTATATGTAATTTTATATATCAGCAAAATATATACAATGAAATTTCGCCATAACAGACATATTTAATAGTTATTTTTTATACAAGACGATAAAATGGTATTTTATCCTCGTCCGAAAAGATAAATTTCGGGAGACGATAATGCAATCATTTTATCGTCGTGTATAAATCAATATTTTTTTCCATAGCGAGTTACGTTTTAAAAAATATCCAGAAATTATTATTTAGGAATTTATTACGAGTAGAAAAAATATTGTGCTGGATTGGCGTTAGTTTCTATGTAATTTGACAAATAAATAAAGCTGTCTCTTTAGTTGTCAGTTTTGAGTCAATCATTTTTAATTCTCTTTCATGTCGATTGCTGATTGAATTGGAACCAGAAATGGCTCAAAACGAAATAAATAAATTACCAACAGATATTTAGGCTGAGCCGACAAACGCCATATCCAAACTACTTCCATTTAAATCCCGAATAACTTATGAAAAGGAATACAAAAATGTTCAAAATGGAAGCAGTTAAAAAACGTGCGAGAAGAAATAAAGTTTTTAACTTATCCTCGCTCTTAAAGTATCATTTAATCTACCCTTGCGGTTAAAGTCATTGCCTGGAAACTTATATGGTGAAATTTTGATAAAATAATTTAGTACACACTAAAAACACGGTATGTCGCTAGTGGTAGGAAAAATAATTTTTAGAGGTTACTAGTTTATTTGGTTGCCTGTGATATGCATATCCAGGGTGTTTCCTAATTAATCTAAAAAAATATAAAATCGTTAGAAAACGAATTAAGGCGTGGCTCTTAATAAGTATATTTATTTTTCTCGACAATCGTTTGATGAACAAGAAAAACCAAAAGATCAATTTTGTTGAAAAAGGATGGCCAGTCAAGAAAAAAATATATTTTCTGTAAAAAAGCAGTGGTGTACCATTTATGTTAAGCAAAAAAATCGATTTTTTTAAATTTTTAACACCCTGTAGATCAGAAAGGAAGTACTTTAGACCTAATGGTTATATAAAAATTGTTTTAAGAACACATGAGGAATCACACCATAATTTTTTAGACTAATTCGAAAACACCCTGTATATTGTCAACTTGACAATGACTGCTGATAAATCAAAAAATACCTTTTCAGTGAAAAAAGCCTGATTTTCGCAAGAAAAATTTTGATTTTTATTGAATTTGGGCCTGCGTTTGCAAATACTGGTTTGTTTTTTAATTTTCTATATATCTAAATTATAAATATCATAGTCAGAAATAGTTTTATTATTTATTAACTGTAAAAATGGTGTTTTCTTGTTATGTTGCATCTTGCAAAGAAACTAACAAAACTGCAAAACTGTACGTGTTTCCAAAAGACGATAAGATATGTATCTTAGATAAAAGAAAAATATATGGTATGTATTCGTTGTTTGATTTTTTTCGTTCGCTTTAAAATCTATAAATCTCGGTCTATTCATTAGACAGCAAGTCGACTTACGATCATTTACATGAAACTCTGTAAAATAACTAAAAAAATAAATTGTAAAATATATATATTCTTATGTTTTATTAAAGTTACTCTGATATACTAATATATCAGTGTAACTTTAAAAATAAATTCTTTCAATTCAAATATAAACATAAAAAATATTTACAGCAGAAAAGGCGAAGGCGCTGGGTTAAACGTAGTCTTCACTAAAGACACGGAAGGGCGCTTTGACCCAAGATTTTACCACGGCATATAAATCACACGGCAGGCTAACTCTCTCTTTGGCGGGAACGCTACGCGCGCATACCGTCGCGCACGCCGCCATTAAGAATTTCCATCAACAGAACGTAACCAGTGTCGTAGTTTCTTTCATTGACTGCGCACACTTTCGGCTGATTCGAGTCAGTAGCGTACGGATTAATTTATTTTGTTTATTTATTGAGTTATATTTTATAGTTGTTGTTTTATTTTTGTTTATTGTGTTATATATTTGGTTTTTCTAGTTTATTTTCGTTTCTTGTGTTATATAATTTATTTTTGTATTTCTGAACATTTTTAAATCTTTAATTTTTACGTGTTTTTAAAATGCCTGGGCGAAGTTGTGCAGCAAAAAACTGCCCGAGTAGAGGACTAAACTGCAATAAAAGTTTCTTTCTGTTTCACATATGTATATACATATGTGATTAATTATTTTAACATATTTTAGTTAAAAAAACAGTAGTATACATATTAGGACATTCAGCTAAATAGAAAGATCTAATTAAAAATATACAAGTTCAGCATCTATATTAAATGTTAACAAACTTATATATAGGATGAGTCTTAAATAAGTGCAAATATTTTCAGGGCTGGCAGATCTCGATAAAAGAAACATATTTTCTCCTTACTTTTTCAGATAAATCCAAAATAACCGAGTTATTTAAGTTTAAAAAAAAATTTTTTTTTAAATGTTGAGTTGAGAGCCACCGAATTTTTTCTGTATTTGCATCCCTTTTAGTGCCGCAACCATAGAGTAAAGCCGTAACTATGGTAATATCAGAGATTAAGAAATTATACCGTGGGAAAATTTGCGGTGAACAGGCAGTTCTAAAAAGTTTTCGAAAAATATACAGGGAAGTTAAAAGAAAATGCACGATTTTCAATATCTTTTTTTAGCGAAAAAAACTCATAAACGTGTTCCTGGGGTCGAAATATACCACCCCTGAAAATATTTGCACTTATTCAAGACTCACCCTATATGTATATAAAATATTAGCAAGATTAAAATGTTAAATATTTAGTAAAATTTAATGTTGTATCTAGACATTCAACATTAAATTTAAAAATAATTAATTTATTCATTTAAATAAAATTATAAAAATAAATAAAATGAGTATATCGAAAATAACAATAGATTAGTAACAAGTTAACAATACATTTTTAGGGCAAGAACATGGGCAATTGCATCTAATAATAGAAGACTTAGTTGAAGATATAAATAAGGCCCAGAAAAGGTACAGGTTGTGTTCTGATCATTTTGAATTTAAAATGTTTTACAATTCACTTTGTAAATTTCAAGATGGTTGGTGTCGCCAGGCTTAAGTACTATATATAGTGATACCTTACTAGCGTATAAAATACAATGCTGTACCTACTTTGTTTCCTGCCATGAAAAAAAAATAGAAGTTTCTCAAAAAAAATTGTGGATTTATTAATTTGTGAAATTTGAATATTAATAAAATTTGCTACGCCCATTGATGGGCATAATTTATACAATAGCCTCTTTATATTGTTCAATAAATATTTTATTAGTATTTTTTAATTCTTGTTTGTAACTCCTGGCATTTTTTTTGTTAGTTGCATGTTTTTAATTTTAATTGTCTATTCTACAGTGAAATATTTAATTG